GAGACTCAGGCGGTCCTCTGTCCTGTCAAGCCCACTCGGGCGGCCGCTGGTTTCTGACGGGCATTGTGAGCTGGGGTTCCGGCTGTGGCAGACCCAACCTTCCCGGAGTTTACACCAGAGTGGCCAAGTTCATAGACTGGATCCAAAGACATATTCAAAACTTATGAAATGCACAGCCAATAAATCCACCTTACAATGAATTATGTATTTCATACACTCAAAACAAGCCATTGTCATCTCAGCTGTTCCACAGCAAATAGGCTATGTGTTATTTAATGGTCTGTCAATCATGTAACACCATTATAATACATTTGTCTTGAATAATACATTACTTGTAGTCTTTTTTTCAGCAATTACAAATAATTCCTGCCAAATAAAAAAAACAAGTTAACATTTATGCTAGCCTATATGGTATATACATATTAAACCTTTTTAAATTATATAAATTATTATATGGGTCAATATCACCATAGAGTGCCTTTCAACCCTCACAATACTCAAAAATGTTGGTTTTAATTTCCCATTCGCTTTATGTCATATCATAAATAGTAGACACTCAAGTACTATAGAATCATATTAGCTGAGCTCCCACACATTGTTTTAGATAATTATGGGCCATTATTTGAAGCATAGACCATAAGATATGTCCACCCTGTCATGGACATATATATTACTGTTAAATACGTTTTCATTGCAAAATTAAGATGCAAATTATATTTTCTGAGAGGTATGATGTCCCTTTCCTAAACAGGGTTATTTGTTTGCTTTCAAATTATAAATACATAAAAGATTTTATGTAAACCATGTGTTTTTAAAGTATTTGTATTTTTTCTTATTTGGAGAAAACTGATAATTGGATGCATTTTATTTTTGCATGTTATTGCCCCCACACCTAGCTATTGAACACACTGGATTATATAGATATGATTGGATTATTATTGTAAAATATCAAGATGACAGGGTGGACCAGCACATGACGGGGTGGACACATTATGCAAAACACACAAAGCATGACAAAATATGACAATGAAACATTTATTCAACTTCGAAAAAAATAATATAGTAATAATAAATAATATAATTACATCCTCAATCACATTGATATACCCCCGCCCATTCATTTTAGTTTTTAGCAATATTAGCTACAAATTAATGCTATGTCCACCCTGTCATGTGTATGTCCACCCTATCGAGTCAAAGTGGCCAACAGGGTGGACATTTTGGAACAAAGCCAG